CAGCTTTTTTCAGTGCTCCCCAAAATCTCATTGGAAAAATGGGGAAAGTTTGATTTTTTTTCATGCTATACATTTTTAGTGAGAAAAACCCTGTTTCAAGAAGCATTTCATTCATTCTAAAATTTAAAAACCACTGCTTTTTTCCCCAGCGCTTTCCCAAATCCCCCCTTTTTATTGGAATTTTTTTTTTAAAAAAAAATAATAATCTGGGGCACCTGAAGCCCCCCTTCTGTTTTTCCCCAGGCCTTCACATCTCTAGTTTTTGATTTTCTATTAAAAACAAAAACTCACTTTTCGAAACACAAATAACTTAAGAGATAAAACTCACAAAAATAATATGAATGAACTCTCTGCTTGTGCAAAGATCACATTAAACAATGTCACAGCTCAGGTACATAAAGACACCAGTGGAAAACAGAAGCAGGTGAGCTGCCTCTGCACACCTGCCATCTCATTCCTCCACTGGCTCCAGAGGCCCACCCCCACCCAACTGCTTCCCCCCATATGCTGCAACAGAGGGAAAGGGGAAGAAGGTCAGTAATCAAGTAAGAGCCAAGCAGGCTGGTGAAACAGAGAACACAAATAAAAGTAGTCAGGCATGCAAGCAAGAGAAGGAACAGAAGCCTGAGTAAACAAAAAAAAATTAAGCCAGAGATGGAAGCAGGAGACTGTGATAGGTAGGGCAAGTCAGGAGTGGCAGCAGTGGCCAGAGGAGGGAAATAAGGTTTCCTTCTCCCAAAGGCCCCCATTTTTCTTTCTAATGGTAAATTGCCTGGTCCCCATGACACATAATGAAAGCCGCATGACAGGCCTGCCCTGACTTGGATAGCCCAGGCAAGCCTAATCTCATCAGATCTTGGAAGCTAAGCAGGGTTGGCTCTGACAAGTACTCGGATGGGAGACCACCTTAAAATACCAGAGGCAGGGGGCAGCCTTTATGCAGCCATCTCTTTGAATATCCCCCAGGACGCCAGTAGGAGTCAGTCACCAGAGTCGCCATGACTTCCAGATGCACTTACACCCCCCCCAAAAAAAAACAGCCCAAAAAGCAGCATAACAGGCCCCAGCACAAGAAAGAGGGAATTTTCTGTATAAAAACAAGAATCCCTACATATGAAGAAAAATATGATTTTGCTGGAGGGGAAGAAAAATATGAAAACACAGATTCAGTACTGTCCAATCATCACTATGCCAGTTGACAGGCTGATTTTGTTTGAAACTGTGTTTATTGTTGTCATTTTATCTACTGCTATTGTGTTGTTTTCCTACTAGGATTTTGTTAGTCACACTGAACCTGGCAAAAAGCCAGAATACAAATATTTCAATCAATCCAATGTAGTTCAGTTTCCTGCATTCTTTTGTATTAAAAAGAAAACTGGAAAGTCATTCTACAGATACAAATCTTCAAACAACTTAAAAAGACATGCCTTCTTCCAAAGAACATTGGAATGTGTTATTTAGTAAGCATACTGTTAGTAACTCCCACCAGCTTCAAAGAACCACACTACAAATGCAACCATATCCTTATAAATCAACACTGCAGGCATGCCTCATGTCTTCAGACACTAAAAGAGGTTCCTCATGTATTGATTTACTATCTCAGCTAAAAACAAGAAACAATCTAAATAGTGCAGTGTGCTATCAACTTTGCCACAATTTAATTACTAAACCTCCTTGTTCTTTTATGGGCTAAGGAGGGCCCAATAAAGTAGCTATATGGATTCCAGGAGGTGGGATGCACTGATTAAATATATTCACAAACTAAATATATTCACGAACCACCTGTAAGGCTCATGTACCTGAAATAACTGTAAGACATGTGGAAACTCAATGAGATAACCTGTCAGAGAACAAGAAATGCAGTGAGTGGGAAACTGAACAGGAGGATTAGGCTGGACTGAGGGTGGCCAAGTGTAGAGAAGCTAGGACTACCAACTTCTACTTAGTCCCTACAGCAAGACCTCAACAAGTCATAAGAAAAATCCTGCTGGATTAGCCCAGCAGTATATTTAGTTCAGCATTCTTTTTCCCATAACAACCCACCAGTCACCCCAGAAGACTCTCAAGAGCACACTACTGAGCCCATCAACTGGCAGATCTCAACTCGGAACTAAGTCCCATTTATTCAGTGCAGCTTACTCCCTGGAAAATGTCCACAGGATTGCAGCCTTAGTCTGCAACAATGAACCGGTGATAATAGGTTCCTTCCTCCACATCATTTACCTGCCATTTCCTACACATCAAGCTACGATTGAAGCCATGCAAGGTCTCCCCCCCAACTGGCGCGGGGGGGCGGGCAGTTAGAAACTCCAGCTCATACTGTGCTTCCCCTTCTGGGCTAGGAAACTTCACACCGATCCGAAATACAGTCTACAGTACCGCCCTCCCGATACAGCAGAGGACTTTCGCTCAGGTAACCATACACAGGGTTGCAAGCTACTATGGGCCCTGTCCCGTACTATACAAGCCTAGAAATCCGCAGACCAGCTCATCCCACTTTCCTGCGGCAGAGCGCTTCCTTCACTGGGCACCCGCGATGGCCTACACTCACAAACCAAACAACCTAGTGCGGGGGAGAGAAGAAAAGGGCGCGCCTGTCCCAAAGGGAAACGTAAGGAGCGCCTTGTAACCGTGCTTCTCACCCTCCAGCAGCTTCACAGAAAATCCACTCCGCCGCCTTCAACCGCTCCACTCACCTAATTCCCGCGCCACTGCCTCGTGCCGCACATGCGCGGTCTATGGCTCATTTCTCCCCTCCCGGGAAACTGCGTATCTGTAAGCACGCATGCGCACACTAATGTTGGTGTCCGGATGGAATTTTCAAATAAATTGAAGGAAGAGAAATGAGGAATTAAAAAAGTGTATCTTCGCAGGGCGTTGTAAGTGAGCGAAAGAGGGGATGGGACGTACCATGTTACTCCCT